GCCCCACTGAATGTAATATTGACAGCACCAGGTACTTCAGCCCCACTGAATGTAATATTGGCAGCACCAGGTACTTCAGCCCCACTGAATGTAATATTGACAGCACCAGGTACTTCAGCCCCACTGAATGTAATATTGACAGCACCAGGTACTTCAGCCCCACTGAATGTAATATTGACAGCACCTGGGAAAGACAGGTTGGTATGTCTGTATTTGGTAGTTACTCGTTACATTATTTTCCTTCGTATTCTTCTCTTCCTTCTCATATTCTTCCTCTAGCTCCTCTTTCTGAAGCTCCTCTTTATCCTACTCCTGCTGTTTCTGCTCCTCTCCCTCTTCTACCCCTCTTCCTCCTCCTCCTCCTCTTCCAGCCCTCCAGGACTCTGCAACTCACTCAGCAGGAAGGTCATTACTTCGCAACTTTGATGACTCCTGGAACTGGAAAAGGTTTTCCTTTTTTCATCTCGAGAACATATTTTTTTATTTGTATAATTAGTTCACATATGTATAATAGGTAAGGAAATGTTAAATTCGCGTCTCTAGGAATTCTGTGATTTTAGTGAGAAAGATATTGTTAACAGCTTGAACTTATCGAAGTAGAAATTACACGAAAATACGCGCTATCAAAATTAAAAAAAAATGGATAATTTTTTTTATTAAAAATGGATTAAAAAATATTTAAAAATATTTAAAAAAAATAAAATGCATTAAATACGATTTTAAAAAATGTTGAATTAAAAATTGGATTTAAAAAGATTAAAAAATCTGGATTAAAAATAATAAATAAAACATTTAAGAAACCTGGATTTAAAAAAATTATTTAAAACTGGGCTTAATAAAACGATTAAAAGCCTGAATAAAAAAAATGGATGAAAACCAGGATAAGAAGAAATATCGGCTCTTGATCTAAGGAATTGGATCTGCTCCCGTTCCCTGAATTGAGCCTGAATACCTTCCATCCCCCCCCCACACAGGTACTGTATAAATTCTACTGGTTTAGTGCTCTATTATAATAGACATGGAGATCTCTGAAAATGTGTGAATAAGGAGACATTTCAAGCGATTCCCTTATAAAGAACTGTGGAGTGATGCTGGGGGAAGGCACTGGATCCAAGGCATTGGAGCTACCCGCCCCTCTTAGCAGACTTGTTTACCTATCATTGCCCGGGTGAAGTGTGACCGCTACGTGTTTACAGCTTTCCAATGACTTAATCTTGGTCCAGCGGATTGTAAACTAGAGATCTTTTGGAGTCGTCAAGATAAATATTTAATCCTACGAGACCTTGTGTTTCCAGCTGCTACACTAAACATTAATTTTGATGCTGCTCGTCTTGATTTTGATGCTTTCTTTGATTTTTTATTCTTGTTTTGATTTTGATGCTGCTTGTTTTGATTTTGATGCTTTGATTTTTTATTCTTGTTTTGATTTTGAAGCTGCTCGTCTTGATTTTGATGCTTTCTTTGATTTTTTATTCTTGTTTTGATTTTGATGCTGCTTGTTTTGATTTTGATGCTTTCTTTGATTTTTTATTCTTGTTTTGATTTTGAAGCTGCTCGTCTTGATTTTGATGCTTTCTTTGATTTTTTATTCTTGTTTTGATTTTGATGCTGCTCGTCTTGATTTTGATGCTTTCTTTGATTTTTTATTCTTGTTTTGATTTTGAAGCTGCTCGTCTTGATTTTGATGCTTTCTTTGATTTTTTATTCTTGTTTTGATTTTGATGCTGCTCGTCTTGATTTTGATGCTTTCTTTGATTTTTTATTCTTGTTTTGATTTTGATGATGCTCGTCTTGATTTTGATGCTTTCTTTGATTTTTTATTCTTGTTTTGATTTTGATGCTGCTCGTCTTGATTTTGATGCTTTCTTTGATTTTTTATTCTTGTTTTGATTTTGATGCTGCTCGTCTTGATTTTGATGCTTTTTGATTTTTTATTCTTGTTTTGATTTTGAAGCTGCTCGTCTTGATTTTGATGCTTTCTTTGATTTTTTATTCTTGTTTTGATTTTGAAGCTGCTCGTCTTGATTTTGATGCTTTGATTTTTTATTCTTGTTTTGATTTTGATGCTGCTCGTCTTGATTTTGATGCTTTCTTTGATTTTTTATTCTTGTTTTGATTTTGATGCTGCTTGTTTTGATTTTGATGCTTTCTTTGATTTTTTATTCTTGTTTTGTTTTTGAAGCTGCTCGTCTTGATTTTGATGCTTTCTTTGATTTTTTATTCTTGTTTTGATTTTGATGCTGCTTGTTTTGATTTTGATGCTTTCTTTGATTTTTTATTCTTGTTTTGATTTTGAAGCTGCTCGTCTTGATTTTGATGCTTTCTTTGATTTTTTATTCTTGTTTTGATTTTGATGCTGCTCGTCTTGATTTTGATGCTTTCTTTGATTTTTTATTCTTGTTTTGATTTTGAAGCTGCTCGTCTTGATTTTGATGCTTTCTTTGATTTTTTATTCTTGTTTTGATTTTGATGCTGCTCGTCTTGATTTTGATGCTTTCTTTGATTTTTATTCTTGTTTTGATTTTGATGCTGCTCGTCTTGATTTTGATGCTTTCTTTGATTTTTTATTCTTGTTTTGATTTTGAAGCTGCTCGTCTTGATTTTGATGCTTTCTTTGATTTTTTATTCTTGTTTTGATTTTGATGCTGCTCGTCTTGATTTTGATGCTTTCTTTGATTTTTTATTCTTGTTTTGATTTTGATGCTGCTCGTCTTGATTTTGATGCTTTTTGATTTTTTATTCTTGTTTTGATTTTGAAGCTGCTGTCTTGATTTTGATGCTTTGATTTTTATTCTTGTTTTGATTTTGATGCTGCTCGTCTTGATTTTGATGCTTTCTTTGATTTTTTATTCTTGTTTTGATTTTGAAGCTGCTCGTCTTGATTTTGATGCTTTGATTTTTTATTCTTGTTTTGATTTTGATGCTGCTCGTCTTGATTTTGATGCTTTCTTTGATTTTTTATTCTTGTTTTGATTTTGATGCTGCTCGTCTTGATTTTGATGCTTTCTTTGATTTTTTATTCTTGTTTTGATTTTGAAGCTGCTCGTCTTGATTTTGATGCTTTGATTTTTTATTCTTGTTTTGATTTTGATGCTGCTCGTCTTGATTTTGATGCTTTCTTTGATTTTTTATTCTTGTTTTGATTTTGATGCTTTCTTTGATTTTTTATTCTTGTTTTGATTTTGATGCTGCTTGTTTTGATTTTGAAGCTGCTAGTTTACTGTGCATCTAGTATCGTTCCTGAAGACGGTAGTGCGAGAGTTCGTGGGTTTACAGAAGCCTTGGAGTCAGGCACCAGCAGGACGACTAACAGGAAGGAGTACATATGGGATTATATTTGCAGTTTAATAAAGACAGTTATAATAAAGACAGTTTTAAAGGGACCACATGTGATATCAAGGTACCTTATTAATGGAAAATAAGATACCAGATACATTAAGTGAATAAACTAAATTTGCTAGTAAAGGAAATTTAGTTTATTCACTTAATGTATCTGGTATCTTATTTTCCATTAATAAGGTACCTTGATATCACATGTGGTCCCTTTAAAACTGTCTTTATTATACCAGTCTTAATTTACTTTAGCAGCCCTTACTGACCTTCCTAATTCTACCTTCATCCTCACTGACCTTCCTAATTCTACCTTCATCCTCACTGACCTTCCTAATTCTACCTTCATCCTCACTGACCTTCCTAATTCTACCTTCATCCTCACTGACCTTCCTAATTCTACCTTCATCCTCACTGACTTTCCTAATTCTACCTCTGTTATACCCTTCGCCCTCACTGACTTTCCAATTCTACCTCTGTTATACCCTTCACCCTCACTGACCTTACAGGCTCTACCTTCAATCTCACTGACCTTCCTAATTCTACCTCTGTTATACCCTTCACCCTCACTGACCTTCCAAGCTCTACCTTCACCCTCACTGACCTTCCAAGCTCTACCTTCACCCTCACTGACCTTCCAAGCTCTACCTTCACCCTCACTGACCTTCCAAGCTCTACCTTCACCCTCACTGACCTTCCAAGCTCTACCTTCACCCTCACTGACCTTCCAGGCTCTACCTTCACCCTCACTGACCTTCCAGGCTCTACCTTCACCCTCACTGACCTTCCTAACTCTACCTCTATTATACTCGTCACCCTCATTGGTCCCTGATCAAGAATATTACACCTTTTAGAACACCTCACCCTGTACCACTATACGACCCTTACAGGTTTACTGCTTACTTATGATTATAATAATTGAAGGCTACGTAATTTATTATCCATTTTATGAGTCAGAGATACACAAAATCTGAGATGATTATTCTGTAGAATGATTAAAATATAGGTAACGGACCAGGACTTAAAATTGTAAGACACAGCAGCGATGACGAGTGAAAAATACATAATTGGTCAATACAAGGAGGTGTTTAGCGCTGTGTGACACTGCTGAGCACTTGTACACGTCAGTTTTACTGGGTAAGAACTGTTTTCCCGCCTCAGCAAAACCTAGCACTAAGATATCCTCCCATCACCCAGGATGCCATCCACAGGATGCCATCCACAATAGCCTGCTAACACCAAGGTACTTATTTACTGCTAGATGAACAGGGGAAGCAGGTGTAAGGAAAAATGCCCAACGTATAACGAGGTAAATAATGCAGGGGGGGGGGGGAGGCATACACTGATCGTGTGGGAAATGCGAAAAACTCGCATCTATAGTACAGAAGAAACTCAAAATATATTCAGTTTGACGGAGATCCTGATCTGGGACTCGAGCAAACTGAAAATATTTGTCTTTTTTTTATATATTACTGATTGTGGATTATTGATATATGAATAATGTAGTTAAATATGAGTTTTGTGATGGAGTATGATGGAAATTGTTTAGAAAACCGACAAATTGAAGAATGAGAGACTTGCAACATTTGGGAATCTTAATTACCGAGTAGTAAAGACTCCCAAATGTTGCACAAGTGTCTCATTCTTGTAATAGTTGTGTTGTGTTCCAGACCACCGGCAGTGCTGGAAGGCGGAGTTCGAGTGTTCCAACGGACAGTGTGTTCGTCCTGGGAGAGTCTGTGACGGCCATCACCACTGTAAGGACGGCTCTGATGAGGTCGCTTGTACCACAGGTGAGTCTCAATACCTGCTTTCATTAGCCAGCTTTTTCTCGTGTGTGTTTAATTACTAGTAATTATTTGCAGCTATAGGAGAGGAGGTATGCTCGTGGTGTCTTGTCTTCGCTATAATTATCTTGTAAGAATTTTTAAATAGCGCTTGTAACACTAACTCTACTTTGTGTGTGTGTGTGTGTGTGTGTGTGTGTGTGTGTGTGTGTGTGTGTGTGTGTGTGTGTGTGTGGTGTGTGTGTGTGTGTGTGTGTGTGTGTACACTCGCCTAATTGTACTCGCCTAATTGTGGTTGCAGGGGTCGAGACTCAGCTCCTGGCCCCGCCTCTTCACTGATCGCTACTAGGTCCTCTCCCCCTCTGCTTCCTGAGCTTTGTCATACCTCTTCTTAAAACTATGTATGACTCCTGCCTCCACTACACTTGCTAGGCTATTCCACTTCCTGACGACTCTGAAGAAATACTTCCTAACGTCCCTGTGACTCGTCTGAGTCTTCAGCTTCCAATTGTGACCCCTTGTTTGTGTCCCCTCTCTGGAACATCCTGTCTCTGTCCACCTTGTCTATTCCCCGCAGTATCTTGTATGTCGTTATCATGTCTCCCTTGACCCTTCTGTCCTCCAGTGTCGTCAGTCCGATTTCCCTCAACCTTTCCTCGTACGACATTCTCCTGAGCTCTGGAACTAGCCTTGTTGCAAACCTTTGTACTGTCTCTAACTTCTTGACGTGCTTGACCAAGTGTGGGTTCCAGACTGGTGCTGCATACTCCAGTACGGGCCTAACATACACAGTGTACAGTGTCTTGAACGATTCCTTATTAAGGTATCGGAACGCTATTCTCAGGTTTGCCAGGCGCCCGTATGTTGCAGCGGTTATTTGGTTGATGTGTGCCTCCGGTGATGTGCTCGGTGTTATGGTCACCCCAAGGTCTTTCTCCCTGAGTGAGGTCTGTAGTCTTTGTCCACCTAGCCTATACTCTGTCTGCGGTCTTCTTTGCCCCTCCCCAATCTTCATGACTTTGCATATGGCAGGGTTGAATTCGAGAAGCCAGTTACTGGACCACATGTCCAGCCTGTCCAGGTCTCTTTGCAGTCCTGCCTCATCCTCATCCGATATAATTCTTCTCATCAGCTTCACATCATCTGCGAATAGGGACACTCCAGAGTCTATTCCTTCCATCATGTCGTTCACATATATCAAAAATAGCACTGGTCCTAGAACTGACCCCTGTGGGACCCCGCTCGTTACAGGCGCCCGCTGTGATACCTCTTCACGTACCGTGACTCGTTGTTGCCTCCCTGTCAGGTATTTCCTGATCCATTGCAGTGCCGTGTGTGTGTGTGTGTGTGTGTGTGTGTGTGTGTGTGTGTGTGTGTGTGTGTGTGTGTGTGTGTGTGTGTGTGTGTGTGTGTGTGTGTGTGTGTGTGTGTGAGAAAAAAATTCATGTCTTTGACATGACTGGATGAGGCAGCACACACATACAACACCTGGATATCTTTTTTAAATAATCTCCAACCAGTGTTTTTATCAATTCAAAATGAAGACACCTAGGTGTTACATATTCGTATAATTCCTCATCGTGCCTTAAGTTTCATGCCTTTTTTTTTTTCACGGAGTCTCGTGTGTTGACTGAAATCAAATACAGTTTAAAAAATATATAAAGATAATATTACTAGAAAAAATCTTTTGAAGACGTGTGTGAACATATTCCATAATATTCTAAGGAGCATTATTTATGTTTATTAACTGACGTCTTTAGCATTAATTTCTCTGCCTAGATTCAGTTTAGCTTTTCTGTTATTAGTCGGTTATTACTGAAAATAAAAGTTACAAGAATAGGCTGGAACAAATCACGACCCACAATGCCATAGATGAAAGAAATCACAGCTCACAAAATTGTGGTTGGAACAATTTACAATCTTATGCTGCGTAAGTGTCTTAATCTTCAACTAATACACAATGCCTCAGCTGGAACAGTTCGCAAACCCACTAATTGGAAATGGATTTAATGCATTGTTGCAGTCTGTCAAGAACAACTTGAAACTCAGGACTTAATGATCATTAGTATTGGTGGTTAAGAGTTGAGCAGATTGTGAGGGCCCTAGAAGCAAATTGTTGGTGCCCTAGGAGCAGATTGTGAGGGGCCCCAGAAGCAAATTGTGGGAGGGGGGCCCAGAAGCAAATTGAGGGGCCTCAGTAGATTGTGAGGGTTCTAGAAGCAGATTATGGGACCCTAAAAGCAAATTGTGGGAGCCCTAGATGACATTTCTGGGTACGAGTGTTAGTGTAGTAGAAATCATCTCTCCATTATTTTTTTGTGCTCAGAATTCTACTTTCTAGGAGGACCCTTTCATACGGGGGCCATTTGGTGCGAGATTCTACCACGTTAGAGCGCTAGTAAGACCCGCTTCAGGAAACGCTTGTCCTGTCCCCTGACAAATCTTACCTAACCTAAACTTGTTCCTCTGAATTATATCCGGCACCGACCAGACATCACATTATAGATGATAATCAATATCCCGACAAGTTGCCTCTTTCAGATTCGTGTGCAACCTAAGCGTACAAGTGCGTATGTGCAACCCAAGTGTACAAGTGCGCATGTATTACCAAAGTGTTGCACATGTCATTAGCATAAAAGAGGAACACTGCAGCAGACTTGCTGGCCCGTACTTGGCAGGTTTTTGTCAAACATAAACCCACTAACAAAAATATTCGCCCAACCCATTATAAATGTTATCCAAAGAAGCTGCTTTGATAACCCATTAACTCGATTGCAAGTCCCACTCGCATCTAACCCCTCTCATTAACTAACGGTCCAGGACGGCCCGAAATTCCACCAAATTTCTATTTCCAAATAGTTTGGCTTAAATTTCAGTTGAATATCGTCTGGTGGAGCTGCCATTTAAGAGTGTTTGTATTTTCAGAAGACTTCGCTGTGTGTGGGTCGGGGTCGCGAGTACACAGGTTCTTCTGGTGTGACGGCTGGCCAGACTGCCCTGACAACCATGCTGACGAGCTACACTGTGAGTGTTGTAGGTCTGCTGCGTTGTGTTGTATGTCTTTTGTGTTATGTTGTAGGTCATCTGTGAGTGTTGTAGACTTTTTATGAGCATAGATCTGTGTCGTAGACCTACTGTGAGTGTTGTAGGCCTGCTTGTTTTCTCTATTCGTCTCTTTGCCTATTATTCCATTTATCTGGCTTTCTGCGTGTCAGTTACTATCTGTCCATCCATGTATATCATATTTCCTGAAAGTTGCATCCAGATAGATCTCCACTAGAGTAGACAGAAGTGATCACAGTGTACAGCTGAAGGTAAAGCACTGTGTCGAGTCATGAACATCTGGGTTTTTCTCTCGCGGGACTCCAGGGGCTCTTAAGGACTTCGGGGATTCCAGTCTTCTAGGGACATGACACACACACTGACTCAACCCTTGCAACCACAATTAGGCGAGTCAACACAAGCACAGGAAAGCACTCATCCTTGCGCTCAAAATAAGGGAATTTAGTTGCAGTAGGCAGCTGCTGAGTCAACAAACATGTCAGAGATACAGACAGGCCATAAATAATGTATGAATATTTGCAGACAGGAAATATTTCAAATGGAAATAGTGCACAAGAAAACTAAATATTTCATTCAAGTTTGTTATAAGTAATGGTATACAATACCGACGAGTCTTATTCTGTAACTTTTCGCCTACACAGTAGGCTTGGTCAGTCAAGTACAGAGGAGTATACCTGGAGTGGGTTTTGGGGGTCACCGCTCCCGCGGCCCGGTCTGAGACCAGGCCTCGTGGTGGATCAGGGTCTTAACCAGGCTGTTACTGCTGGCCGCACGCAAATTGACGTATGAACCACAGCCCGGCTGGTCAGGTACTGACTTCAGGTGCCTGTCCAGCGCCTTCTTGAAGACATCCAGGGGTTTATTGGTAAGCAGAAGCAACCTACTGTGTAGGCGAAACTTATCGGAATAAAGATGCCTCACCGTTGCCTATGTGTCTTGCCAAAAATTTAGAGGACACAATATAAAGGATCAAAGACGTTATGTGATAGTTTGGTAGCCTGTTTTACAAAATTTCAAAAACATTGGCATACATGATACTTAAGCACCACCAACCCAACAACACAGGAGTCACATGATTTCAACGTCTACCTCTTCATCATAGGCAGAGGTTGTTTTGATAAGGACCTGCCTCGCATGGGCCAGTAGGCCTTCTACAGTGTTCCTCCATTCTTATGTTCTTATGACATTCCTCAGGTCACGTGCGTCACACCTCACTCTCCGCCTTTCTACCTCTGTATGTTAGAAGTGATCAAGGTCCCAGGACCGAAACGTTTTCTAATAAATATGTCAGTGTTTGCTTACGTGTCTTTCTAAACCAAAATGAGGATTCACATACCACTCGAAAACGGCCGACGATCACGAGTTCGTTGCTAATATTATGTATGTATGTATGCTAAGCATTTTTTTCTCATTTGCATGAAAAGAATTTTGTCCATTGGTGGACGACGACAAAATAAGTTTTGTGGGTCGTTCACGAAAGAAAACAATTTAAGTGGATTCTAAATAAAAACGATTAGCTGAAATGAGAGATATTGACATAAATGGAGAAGTCTAGAATTTATTAGTTGTTATTGAGGAGAAAACAACCGGACCAGTGTCCAGAACATTACTGTGCCCACTTTAGAACATTTTGAAATCTTTGGAGCCAACGCCCACTTTGAGAAAAAGCTTTAGTCCCGTGGATCGGTGGCAAGGCACTCGCCTCTCACACTGTGGTTCAGTCCTCGGCATGGGTGAAGCGGTGGGCATGTTTCCCTACACTTGCTGTCCGTTTATCAGTAAGTAGGTACCTGGATGTTAGTCGATTGTTGTGGATGGCATCCTGGGGGACAAGACTGAAGGACCACAATGGAAATAAGACAGTCCTCGATGACGCACTGACTTTATTGGGTTATCGGAGTGGCTAACCCTCCCTACCCGGGGTTAAAAATCCCAATAAAATCTTATCTTAGTGTTTGTATCGATAACACCTTTTTTTTTTCCGTGACTTTTTCGGTCAGAGTTCATTCCACAAGTGTGTTCATAACTCAAACAATTTTTCTGTTAGGCTTTAATGGTCTAAACCTCGTTGCCACTCGAGAAATTTGGCCCACTTTTATAATGACCATTTCGTCATTTGCTTGTGCTGGCACAACCATTCATCAAGTATCCACAGTCTCTCAGAACGCAAGGAATGGGTATGGGGGCGAATAATAAAAATGTTAAACTATAGAACGCAAGTGACTCTGCGTTCAACTGGACTACGTCACTCGGTTTCACGTTCTGTGATCAAAACAAACATTGTCATATGACTGACTATACCTGGAGTTTATCTGGAGAGAGTTCCGGGGGTCAACGCCCCCGCGGCCCGGTCTGTGACCAGGCCTCCTTAGGTCAGTGTCCCAGGATGCGACCCACACCAGTCGACTAACACCCAGGTACCCATTTTACTGATGGGGAACATAGACAACAGGTGGAAAGAAACACGTCCAATGTTTCTACTCTGGCTGGGAATCGAACCCAGACCCTCACCGTGTGAAGCGTAGAGCGTTAACCACCAGGCCACCAGAGCTGTAGTGTTAATATACACAGGATTTATTGGTCTTTTAAGTAGCGCTGCACGCACCAAACTAGTTGTTACTGGTGAAGTATTGTTAATTGTGGAATATTCTCTCCATTATGGAACACCAGCGTTACTGATGGAACATTGTGTTACTTGTGGAACATTCTAGGTGGCAATAATGCGTTTTGATTATTATATGTTGTATGTGAGTAATTCAGTGCAGAGTGAGTTGGAGGCTTGAACCTCCGTCCGCTAATTACCAGGTGGATGATTCCACAAGATGAGAAAAGTATCTTTTCTCAGTGATGAAGAATCATCAGTTTTCATCCTGACACAATAATACGTCAACACGCACACAAATTCAACACACGAAGAGGTCGCCACGCGCACAGGAAAGTTACTAGACAGAGGTCAACAAATACACAGAGAAATCTACAGACACAAAGAAGTCTGCAAATATAAGTCAACAGATATAAATCACACACACACACACACACACACACACACACACACACACACACACACACACACACACACACACACACACACACACACACACACACACACACACGAACGCATATACAACAGGCCTAGTGTCTAATCGGCATGTGCCTAGGACAAAATGGTAACTAACGGTGTGCTGTTACTTCCCGTTACGTACTCTCTGGTTCCTCTATACTCGTCTGCCATACTAATAAATTTCTTGGCCTCGGGCGAGTCAGACATGATCGTGAAGGTTGTCAGTAACGATCTATCCTCCTCCTCGCCCTGGAAATTCTTGTGTAGCCGCCGCTTCGATTGTAGGCTGTCATGAAAGATATGCGTGTTATCACAGAATTTAATTAAAATGTCAAATTCTATCTGGAGGGCCGATAGGCGACTTCTTTATACGCCCTTGATTCTATATCAACCTCTGTTTTACGAAGAATGGCTTCAACAGCCATTTTTCCCATGCTTGGTGTCTATTATCAAGGGTTGTGTCAGCGTCTCCGCACCTTCCACTCGTCCCCATTGAAAAAAAAAAAACGAGTAATGTTTAATGTCTCTTCTCTACAAGATCATCAATGTTAATTGTCTGCGTTATCTTGTTCGCTTTCGTGACCTACATAACCCTGTGTGTGTGTGTGTGTGTGTGTGTGTGTGTGTGTGTGTGTGTGTGTGTGTGTGTGTGTGTGTGTGTGTGTGTGTGTGTGTGTGGTAATGTCGTGCCGAATAAATAAAATTGGTCAATTAACAAGAAGTCGTTTAAAATAGTCCTTCCTAATGTTTTCTCTTGTACATTTAAAGATATACTTTTTTCATTTATGTTAATATAAAATTAATGATTTTGTACCGAAAAAACCTTGGGAAACTTACCTAACCTTATTATAAAAAACAAAATTTTAAAAGTACCCTAACCCAACAATTTTTTTTATTATTTAAAATAATTAAAAACACAATAAAATTTTTTTTTTTCGTTATTTTCAGAATGATTTTTGCGAAATTATTGCATACACAAATTTTGCTTGCCCTGTTCGGCCTTTTAAAGGGGGGGTCCTTGGCGTGGTGAAGGGCTTTGGTCTGGGGAATTTTAGCCCTGTCGGTCTTTTTCCCTCAGCCCCGAACCTAATTACCCCCATTTCCCCCCTCCCCTACCATCCTCCCATCCTCCCCCTTTTTTCCATTCCTCCTCCTCCTCCTCACCCCCCCTTTTTTGCCCTTTCTTTTTGCCTTCGTGATTTCCCCCCAAGGGGCAGTTCCTAGGTGGGGAAAAAGGACACCGGGGTCGATCCCATTCCGTTGAGGTTTTTGGGGGGGTGTTTCCCGTGGAATTGGATTCCCTGGGGATGCCCGATCCCTCCCCCGGTACCCCGGAGTAGCTTTGGGTGTTTTTGGGGGCGACGGGTGATCTCTGGAACCCCTTTCGGTTTCCCGGGGTGGTGGTGAGGAGGTATGCTTTGGGCGGATACCCCCCGCCTCTCTTTTGTCCCCCGAGGTAGCCGGCAGATGTGAGGTTTGCTTCCCGGATTGGGGTTTACGGGCAGAAGGGTAGGGTATGGCAGGGCCCAGCTGCATCGGTACAGGGTGGTCGAGCCCTCTTGGGCCGGGAGGGAGATTTCCGGCCCTTTCATTCCTCCGGGGAACTTTTCCTCCCCCTCCCCCTTTTTTTATTCTTTTTTTTGTTTTTATTTTCTTTTCTTCTTTTTTTTTTTTTCTTTAAAAAAAAAAACAAAAGGGGTAACCTAACCAGGGAGCCCCAGTCCAGAAACCCCTACCCCCCGGGCCCCCCTTTTTGATACCGCCCCATTTGACCCCGCCTTGTGTTTAGACCACTCTTTGGACACTCCTGGCCCCTGTACCCTTGGGTGCTGTTTTTCCCCACCCGCTTCAGGTACCGGGGCTTTGACGATCCTTCGATTTTTCTGAAATCCCCTCTCCT